CTGACCATGAAATAAATGATATACTAGAATGTCACCAGAATTGTTTGAACACCTCCTGGCTCTGGTAGAACCACCTTTGAGAAGGAACCCTACCAAACTCCCAATTGAACCAGGGCATCGGCTTGCAATCACTTTACAGTGAGCCAATCTGATTTTGGCTATGCATTGCTGAATCATATTTCAGATATTTTACCACTACCAAAGGTATTACCTGGTACAAATATAGTATTTTCTATTTTTTTTGTGGCTGATGACACCTTTCCACTCAACAAAAACATAATGAGGCTATATCCATGAAAATATGTCAATGAAACCAAAGGGATTTTCAACCTCAGACTATCAAGGGCAAGAATTTTCATAGAAATAACTTTTGGTATCCTGGCCCAAAGGTGGCGCCGCCTGAGAAACCCAATCATTGCCGATGTGGAATTGTGCGATAAAATTGTAATGGCCTGCGTAGTATTACACAATTATATCCAGAAGGGAGAAGAGGACCTTCCACTTGAACAATGGCGATACTGCCCTACAGGTCTTCTGGCAGAATCAGAACCAAATATTGAAGTCCACCTACCATCCATTGGGCGTGTATCTTCCAATAACCCAGGAAGGACCAATGTCATACTGAGAGATACACTGGCAGAATATTTTATCACATACCATGGAGCAGTTCCAAATCACTGGGACAAACTTCATAAAGGAGGTGCTCCAGATAATTTTCAATAATATTTTGTGCTTGCATGATTTTTATGTTCATTAATATCTATATATTCAAAAATATATTATTCACAACCAATCACTATAAGTTTTATTCAATTGACATCAAGTTGGTATACAGCTAGTTTTATGAATGTGAACCATGTACAATTACAAATAAGAAGTCAAATTCACACATTGATTGGGAATCAAGATTCAAAGTATATAAATGGAAACTTGGTTGAAAAATATTGATAATTTCATTTTTTTATTTCAAAAATACAGGTACAAATAATCACATGGAATGAAAATAAAACATTATCACAAACAGAACTAAACTAAAAATACATTCTCATTCACTAAACAAAATAAACATGGTAAAATATGAACTTTGAAATAAAAAAAACCTCACATTAAAAACCACAAAATAAAATCACAGATTGAGTGAATACGAAAATACTACCTATCAAAAGTTATATAGCCACACATACAACCCAAAAAAATCAATCAGAATCACCAACTGAATCTAAATGAATTACTAGTATGTTGTAAATCTCTCTTTTTATTAGTATTTTCTCTTTTCGGGAAAACACTTTCGAGTCTTGGACCAAACTTCTCAAGAGTTGTTCATCATTATCAGTTGATGAGGACTGATGGCTGCTATTGCTACTTTCCAGAACTTTTTGAAAGTGTCAAAACGGTCTGTCATTTTTTCTGCCAATATATCGGTTTACTGGCTGGAATGGTATGTCTGGGGATATTAGCTATGGTTTTCTTTTGTTTTGTCTTATCATCTTCAACAGTTTTAGCAGCAGTTTGTCTAGGAACAGTAGATGTTGATTTTTTCTGAATTTGGGATGAGGTAGGCGTCTTCGACATCCCTCTCAGGAGAGTTCTCTCCATCAATTTGGGAAAGGTCATCATCCAAAATTTTCGACATGGAGTCCCACTCTATGGACTCTGGTTTCCTCTCAATGCTGAGGTTTGAAAATGACCTGAAAATATATGTTACTAACAGCAATTTGATTTCAACAAATACACTTTCCCACTTTCTCGTTGATAATTATGGGTCCAAGAATTTCATCACGTCAAAATAGGGCCAGGTGATTTCGGAAGCCCCAGAACCTGAAGGGGTATATTTGTGTTCCCTTTTCAGTGCAGTATATTTATTTCTGAGGATCTTCCACCTATTTTCACATGCTTCAGCTGTAAAATAATGATAAAATTTAGGGCAATGTCCCAATGTCCAACAATCCAAATACTTTGTACTCACGTGTTTCCCCAACTATTGCCGCTATAGTTTTTCAGGCGTTCTCTTTCATTCGTAAATTTTATATCGTGGATCTGATTTCATATAAAATTGTGGAAATAAAGTTACCTGCTCGATTAATGTACCTTCATCCATTTTCTCGAAAGAGCAAAATATACCAGTATGAAAATGCGAAAATAGTAAAAATGAAAATATCGAAGATTTTAGGGTTATGAAAGTAATTGAAAGTTTTTATATGCACAGTAAACAAATTGAAGAATTAAGTTGACATTATAGACATGAACGTCATTGTCAAAAATTCGTGATTTCATTGGTTGATTCTTAATTCTTATTCAATTCAATTCATCTGTATAAACAGGTCTACTTTCGTCTTATTCCTTATCTTATTCCGTATTTTATCTTATTTTCTGTTTGGTTGGTCCCATTTTTGGCAAAAACTCTTTTAA